AAAAAAAAAATGAAAATACTGCCTTCTTATTAGGAGCTTACAACCAAGTAAATTATATTAAATTATATATATATAAAATTATAATGTATATAAATATAATGTAAATAAGCCTTAAATTCACTAAAAAGTTAATAAAAAGGAAGGTGTTACAGCACAATTATCATGATATAAAAACTACTTAAGATACAGACAATCAAGATATGCCAATTAACTAACAATGCTAGTGGTAAGCTAGTGCCATTAGATGAGAATTTTCCTTTGGTCGAAATTACAATTTTATGGTAACATGACTATATATTACTTTTATAATGAAAAAATAGACCATGCACATGAAAAAGATATAAATAATAGTTCAAACGAGTCCCTGGGTGATGCAAACAGCTAAGCACTTCGCTACTATCTAAAAGGTTAGTAATTCAAATCCACTCAGAGGGACCTCAGAAGGAAGCCCTGGCAATTTGCTTCTGAAAGATCACAGCCATGGAAAACTCTGTGGAGCGCAATTCTACTCGGAAACACACGGGGTCCCATGAGTCAGAATTGACTCGGTGGCAACTGGTTTTTGGTGTTTTAGTCTTACTCCTCACTTTGCACGTGAAAATCCTAGATCCAAGGTAATAGAAAAATTAGAATCCAGGTCTCCTAACTTTAGTCCACTATACTTACCCACACACACTCCACCTTTTGATTTCTGCTGGTATTTTCTTTCATTAAAATAAATAGTCACTTGCTTATACCTGGTGGGCTTCTTGTCTTCACCCAAGTTCAGAATTCCAGCTTTGCCATAGAAGTCGGGAATACTCGAGGTGATTCACTGCCTGCTTTTCCTACAGCTAGCCAAGGTCTACTCCTACGCACATGGATGGATGTACCAAGGTTGGAACTGTGGGGATTACTTCCCAGATGGCATCACCAATGGGGCTTCCTGGTATTCGCTCAGCAAGGGTAAGGACGGTCCAGGGAATTGCTTATTATTTCAGCTGCAAGCTGAAGTTGAATAGTGCTCATTTCTCCTATGATATTCCCAGTTTTCTCAGGGAAAGGATAGGAATACCGTAGAATTTTGCATTCAAGTTGTTGTTGTTAGGTGCCGTCGAGTCAGTTCCAAGTCACAGAGATCCTACATACAACAGAATGGAACACTGCCCAGTCCTGCACCATCCCTACAGTCATTGCTATGTTTAAGCCCATTGCTGCAGCCACTGTGTCAATCAACTCATTGAGGGTCATCCTCTTTTTCACTGACCCTCTTGACCCTCTACTTTACAAAGTATGATGTCCTTCTCCGGGGACTGGTCCCTCCTGATTACATGTTCAAAGTACGTGAGACGAACGAAGTCTTGCTGTACTCGCTTCTAAGGAGCATTCTGGCTGTACTTTTCCCGAGACAGATTTATTCATTCTTCTGGCAGTCCATAGTATATTCATTATTCTTCGCCAGCACCGTAATTCAAAGGCATCAATTCTTCTTTGGTCTTCCTTATTTATTGTCCAGCTTTCACATGCATATGAAGTGATTAAAAATACCACAGCTTCGGTTAGGCATACCTTAGTCCTCAAAGTGACGTCTTTGCTTTTTAACATTTTAAATATGTCTTTTGCAACAGATTTGCCCAATGCAATATGTCGTTTGATTTCTCGACTGCTGCTTCCATGGGCATTGATTGTGGATCCAAGTAAAATGAAATCTTTGACAACTTTAATCAATCTTTTCTCTATCATGATGTCACTTACTGGTCCAGTTGTGAGGATTTTTGTTCTTTATGTTGGAAGTGTAATCCATATTGAAGACTGTAGCCTTTGATCTTCATCAGTAAGTGCCTCAAGTCCTCTTCACTTTCAGTAAGCAATGTTGTGTCATCTGCATATCACAGATTGTTAATGAGTCTTTCTCCAATCTTAATGCCCCATTCTTCATATAGTCCAGCTTCTCAGATTATTTGCTCAGCATACAGACTGAATAAGTATAGTGAAAGGATACAGACCTAACTAACGCACACCTTTCCTGATTTTAAACCATTCAGTATCCTCTTGTTCTGTTCAAACAACTGCCTCTTGGTCTATGTACAGGTTCAGTTTTCTGGAATTCTCATTCTTCTCAATGTTACCCATAACTTGTCGTTATCCACACAGTCAAATGCCTTTGTGTAGTCAGTAAACCACAGGTAAACATCTTTCTGGTATTGTCCGCTTTCAGCCAAGATCCATCTGACATCAGCAATGATATCCTTTATTCCATGTCTTCTTCTGAATCTGGCTTGAATTTCTGGCAGCTCCCTGTTGATGTACTGCTGCAACCGTTTCTAAATTATCTTCAGCAAAATTTTACTTGCGTGTGATATTAATGGTATTGTTTGATAATTTCTGCATTCTGTTGGGTCACCTTTCTTTGCAATGGACACAAATATGAATCTCTTCCAGTCGATTGGCCACCTAGCTGTCTTCCAAATTTCTTGGCACAGATTAGTGAGTGCTTCCAATGTTGCATCTGTTTGTTGAAACATCTCAATTAGTATTTCGTCAATTCCTGGAGCCTTGTTTTTTTGCCAGTGCCTTCAGTGCAGCTTGGACTGCTTCCTTTAGTACCATCAGTTCCTTATCATATGCTGCCTCCTGAAATGGTTGAATGTTGACCAATTCTTTTTGGTACAGCGATGCTGTGTATTCCTTTCATCATCTTTTGATGCTTCCTGCGTCATTCAATATTTGCCAACAGAATCCTTCAGTATTGCAATTCGAGGCCTGAATTTTTGCTTCAGTTCTTTCAGCTTGAGAAATGCTGAGCGTGTTCTTCCCTTTTGGTTTCCTAACTCCAGGCCTTTACACATTTATACGCATTATAATACTTTGCTTTGCCTTCTTGAGCTTCCCTTTGAAATCTTCTCTTCAGCTCTCTTACTTCATCATTTCTTCCATTTGCTTTAGCTGCTGTATGTTCAAGAGCAAGTTTCAGTCTTTTCTGACATCCATTTTAGTCTTTTCTTTCTTTCCTGTCTTTTTAATGACCTTCTGTTTTCTTTATGTATGATGTCCTTGATGTCATCCCACAACTTGTCTGGTCTTCAGTCTTTAGTATTCAATGCATTAAATCTATTCTTGACATGGTCTCTAAATTCAGGTGGGATATACTCAAGGTTGTACTTTGGCTCTTGTGGACTTGTTTTAATTTTCTTCAGTTTCAACTTGAATTTGCACGTGAGCAGTTGATGGTCTGTTCCACAGTCGGCCCCTGGCCGTTCTGACTGATATTTAGCTTCTCCATTGTCTCTTTCCACAGATGTAGTTGATTTGGTATCTGTGTATTATATCCAGCAAGGTACACATGTATAGTTGAAAAACTGGTGTTTGCAATAAATAAGTCGGTCTTAAAAATTCTAACATGAAATCGCCAGTGTTGTTTCTGTCACCAAGCCATATTTTCCAACTACGGATCCTTCTTCGTTTCCAACTTTCACATTCCAAACACCAGTAGTTATCAGTGCATCTTGATTGCATGTTTGATCAATTTCAGATTGCAGAAGTTGGTAAAAGTCTTCAATCTCATCTTTGGCCTTAGTGGTTGGTGCGTAAATTCGAATAATAGTTGTATTAACTGGTCTTCCTTGTAGGTGTATGGATATTACCCTATCACTGACAGCATTGTACTTCAGGATAGATGTTGAAATGTTCTTTTTGACAATGAGTGGGACACCATTCCTCTTCAATTTGTCATTCCTGCCATAGTAGACCATATGATTGTCCTATTCAAAATGGCCAACACCAGACCATTTTAGCTCACTTATGCCCAGGATATCAATCTTTATATGCTCCATTTCATTTTTGATGACTTCCAATTTTCCTAGATTCAAACTTCATACATTCCATGTTCCGGTTATTAATGGATGTTTGCAGCTGTTTCTTCTCCTTTTGAGTCATGCCACATCAGCAAGTGAAAGTCCCGAAAGCTTGACTCCATCTATGTCATTAAGGTCAACTCTACTTTGAGGAGGCAACTCTTTCCCACTCATATTTTGAGTGCCTTCCAACCTGAGCGGCTCATCTTCTGGCTCTATATCAGACAATGTTCTGTTGTTGTTCACAAGGTTTTCATTGGCCAATGTTTTTAGAAGTAGATTACTGGTCCTTCTTCCTAGTCTATCTTAATCTGGAAGCTAAGATGAAACCTGTTCACCATGGGTAGCCCTGCTGGTATTTGAAGTACTGGTGGTATAGCTTCCAGCATCACAGAAACACGCACGCCACCACGGTAAGACAAACTAACAAACGTGTAGCAATGCATTCAAATACAGATCTGAAAAAGGGAAGAGTCTCAGGTTGGTATTTAATGTCACTTTAATGGAATCCCCGGGTAGTGCAAATGGTTAAGCACTTGACTATTAACCAAAACGTTGGCAATTCAAATCTACCCAGAGGTGCCTTGGAAGAAAGTCCTGGCAATCTTCTTCCAAAAGATCATAGCCATTGAAAACCATATGGAACACAGTTCTATTCTGATCCACATGGGGTCACCATGAGTCGAAATAGACTTGATAGCAACTGGTCTGGTTTTTTAAGTTTTGTGATCCTTTAAAACTAGGGTAGGGATACCTTGTGGTCCTTTAAAACTGGCAGTTTCCACAGGAGATTAGGGAATAGGAGAGAAATCGTGTAGCCAAGTGGTTGACAGTGTGAGCTCTGAGGATATATTGTCTGGGTTAAAACCTGGATTGCCCATTTAGCAGTCTTGTGACTTTGGGCCAATTATTTAACCTCTTTGTGCTTTGGTTTCCTCATCTGTACATTAAGAATAATAATACCTCAAAAATTTGATATTGGATTAAATAAAACACTGCACACAATGTGTTTGGAAATGCCAAGTTTGTAAATGTTAGTTTTAAAATTTTTTCTGTAGCATAGAGATGTGTCTCACGTAGCAACAGATGAGCAGAGGAGCTGGCTGGGCACAACCAGTTCCCCTGATACGTGCTCTCCTTAACCTGCCTGCCGGCCCATCTACCCACCAGCAGGAGCTTACCATGGATGCTGGCCCTTGATATGTAGCCTGAAAGAGCAGAAACTCCTGGAAGGAGGCTACTCTCTCTCTTCTCTTGCTCTTCCTCATCACTGAGGGTCTAGATAGAATGTTTGTTTAGGAACCTTCCCAGGTGAACCTAAGGATGGGGAAAAGGCTGAAGCAGCAGGCAGGTGCTTTCAGGAATCATCTCGTAGCATCTTTTCTTTCCCTATCCTCTCAAGTCTAATCTGGTCACAGCTCAGGTGGCAAAAAGCTCACTAGTGAGGACTGAGTTGATGACAAGGTTGGTCTTGTGCAGAGCAAGGAGGAGTAAGGTTAAGGAGTTACCACGTACTAGGAAGGTGGTAGACCACTTGCAGCTCAAAACTCACTTGAACACCAGGCAAGATTTTGTTGAACTTATTTTCTTTAATTTGTATTAGAAAATCAATAGGCTTCCCCTCCCAAAAAAGTTTATAGTATCAAATATACTTTTTCAAACTACACTACACTTGTTCCCTTTTTTTTTTTTTCCTTTCCCTCTCCTGACTCTAGATTTAGATAAAAACCCCTCTGGGCAAGCATGGCCCATCCTCCACTGAGAATCACTACCCTAAATTAACTAGGTCTCCAGTGATACAATTCCAAGATCATTAAGCTAATCAAAGTAATTGTTCCAAGAGTGTGATCTTGGTAACAGCATCATCAACATCACCTGGAAATGTGTTAGACATGCAAATTCTCAGACCCCACCCCAGACTTCCTGATTCAGAAACGCTGGGGCTAAGGGCCCAGAGGTGTATATACAGAAAACAGCGCCTATGGCAAGCACTGAAATTGCACCACTGCTAAGGCGTAGGGAGGGTAATGAGTGCCCAGGGGCAATCTGTAAATTGCCCCCAACCCCATTTCAAGATGAATAGCTGTGGATAGCGGTGATGCATCCGCAGAAATGCCTTCCCCCTTCTTCTCGGGCTGCCTCAGTCAGACACCTTTTATTTTTGTGGCGCCTTGGAATGTCATCCTGTGCCTTGTCAGCCGCTCCATCGGACTTGCCCCCGGGGCAAGTGCTCACCTCTACTCCCCCTCACTATGCCTCTGCGCCCCTGTCCAAATATCCGACACCCATCTTTTTGATAACTTTTCCATAATATGAGCTCAAAAATACAAGTCAAGATCGTTAATCTTTCACTTAACACATTATTGCACTACATGAAAATCACAGCTACACCTTCCTTGCTTGCACTGATGAAAATTGGTCTGTGATGTGAAGTCATTTTTTTTTCAGTTTCTTCTCTTTCTGCACTCAGCAGAGCAAGATTATAGTCTGCCTTGACCCATGGAGGCTCTCAAATATGAAAGTATTAATTTTAACTTGCTGAATGGTCTCTCACAGCTGGCGATGGAAACTGCAATGGTTAATAGAAACTGCTCAGTGCCCTCCCCACCCCTTCAAGTGGTGCCAGAGCACGTTGCATACCTGCTATACCTTAGATACACCTCTGAAAGGCCCAGAAATATGTGTTTTAACAAGGCTTCCAGGTGATTCTTCTGAAGTTTGAGAACCAATGTAACAGGCTGTCATTGTTTTCCAACTTTCCCCATTGTTTCTGGAATAGCTGCTAGTACGCATCAGCTTAAAGAGCAGGTGAACACTGACTAAATGAGTAGTTGATAACCCAGATGAGTCTGTGGTATAAACTCCCTTTAATCAGAAACATATTCAATAATGAACACTATGATTATAGAATATAGGAGCAGGCAAGCATTTGGTGGAAGAAAAATATATCTGTCTTCTGTGTCTTCAGGATTCTATTTGTGTGAGATAACCGTTTTCAGATTAGTGTTGTGTTCTCAGGTAGGAGGGATGTGAAAGCAAGGTATTTATCTACCTCTAACCTCTCAGGACTGAAGAACATCATAGTCCAAAGAGGAAATCATTCCCCGGAGAGCAGTACATCTGCCTAGTCTAATACTGAGGCACAACGAATAAACAGACTTTGGGAGTGATAAGAGGGACAAGAAGTGAATTTAAGTCATGAAATGGAAGAAAGGTAGAGGCTGTAGACAATAAAATGAACACTTATGAGGAGAGAAAAATGGAAACAGAGAAAGACATGGAACTGGGAAATTGGGTAAAGATTTTATGGAGGAGAAAAAGAAGTAGAGGTCAAGAGGTAAAATAGAAGGTGATGAAGTAGTGAAGAAATCGTGATTGAAGAGAGATGAGGTGGGGCATTGAGTGGGAACCTGGTTGTACAAGTCTGCCGCTTTCCCCTAGGCATGCAAGACTTTAATTATCTCCACACCAACTGCTTTGAGATCACGCTGGAATTGAGTTGCAACAAGTTTCCCCGCCAAGAAGAGTTACAGCGCGAGTGGTTGGGTAATCGAGAGGCCCTGATCCAATTCTTGGAACAGGTAAAAATATCATTTTTAATTTTTATGGTTATAAAAAAGAAGTGTTTTCCAAGTATCAGGCAAGATTTTTTGTGTGGCTCACATCTGACATTTGTTCTGACTCAATTCAACAGACCTGGACTTTTTTTGCCAATGACATTCATACATTCAACAAATGTTTGTGGAGCCCCAGGTATTGTACTATAGGCACGGTCTGCAGGCAATGTACTATATGATGGGGATGATGAGTAAACAAACAAACAAAAATCCTTGGCCATATGGAGTTTATATTCTAGTGAGGAGATGGACCATAAACAAAATGATAAATTATATAGCGTGTTAGAAGATGAGAAATGCTATGAAGGCCTTACCGAGAAGGCCTTTAAATAAAGACTTAAAGGAGGTGAGAGAGAGAATCATGCAGGTATCTAGGAAAAAAGTGTTCCCAGCAGGGACACAACAGCAGTAGAAAGGCAAGGAGATGAGTGTGGCTGGAACAATTGCCTGAGGAAGGGAGAGGGTGAGGGCAATTGGGGAACAGAGTTCAATTCCAGCCAATGCCACCACTTGTCTGTCAATGGAGCCTTGTGTGTTGCTGTAATCCTGAACATGTTTCAGCACAGCTTCCAGACTAAGACAGACTAGGAAGAAAGGCCCTGATGATCTACTTCTGAAAAACCAGTCAGTGAAAACCCTAAATCAGCCAGTGAAAACCCTATGGATCACAATGGTCGGATCCCGTTGTGCATGAGGTTGCCATGAGTTGGGAGAGACTCAACAGCAGCTAACAACAAGGGAGAGGGTAGTAGGAGATGCAATCAGAGAACTAATAAGGGACTTGAGCTTCATAGACCCTCATAGGGACTTTAGCTTTTGCTCTGAGATGAGTTTTGAGCAGAAGGCTGACATGACTCGATTTAGGTTTCAACAGACTCACTCGGGCTACTCTATTGAGACAACATTATGGGATGGGGGCAGGGAAGCAGAGAGACCAGTTAAGGAGCTATTACCATAATCTTTTTGAAGATAAATGTGGAAACACATGGGAAAGGGCTTTGGGGACTCTAAAACACTACAAATATTTTATGTTCATAACTATATACTATAAATTTTTTCCTACAGGTTCACCAGGGCATCAAGGGAATGGTGCTTGATGAGAATTATAACAATCTAGCAGGTGCTGTCATTTCCATCAGTGGGATTAACCATGATGTCACTTCAGGTAGGTGGCCACTGCTTAGTGCGGTAGGAAGGATGCTTTCACTCCCTCATCTTCCTCAGCAATATTAGGAGGCCAATTTGTAAGCCAGTGAGACTAGCAGGAATGTCAAGGACATTGGAGGTGGGAGGGCTGGAGGGAGGAAGGGTAATAGAAACAGGGACAGTAAATTAATAGGCTGGATCAGGCAACCAAAACATCTCTCACTTCTGAAGAAAAATCTCTTGCTTTTGAAGCAAGTAATCCCTGAGAGGCAAAAACCAAAACCAGTAGCCACTGAGTTGACTCTGACTCCAGGTGACCCCATCTGTGTCAGAGCAGAACTGTGCTCCATAGAGTTGTTTTTTTAAATTAATTTATTTTAATTTTGTTGTTGGGAATGTACACAGCAGAACATACACCAATTCAACAATTTCTACACGTACATTTCAGTGACATTGATTACATTCTTCTAGTTCCAACTATTCTCACCCTCTTTTTCTGAGTTGTTCTTCCCCCCATAGGGTTTTCAATGGTTGATATTTTGGAAGTAGATCACCAGGCCTTTCTTCCGAGGCATCTGTGGGTGGCCTCAAACCTCCAACATTTCAGTTGGTTAACGTTTGCACCCCCAGAGATTCCAGCACCAGGAAAGACTTATGTAAATGTGACTTCTCTCATTATTGAGAGTGACTGCCACATACAACTTGGTCAGGAGGTATTTCTGGGCTGGAGGCTGTTAATAGCTCCCATACTGGTCTGAAATGGGTTAAAAAAGAGAAGGATTGTAAAACTGATCTTTAATCTTGTCCCTGACTCAGGTATTTGGCTACACCACCATTCAGGGAAAAGTTAGCAAGATTCATTCTATAAGCTTGCTGCGGGGTGAGATTAATGGTGGACAACCAGGAACCTGTCTCCCAGAAGGGTACAGAATATCTTATGACAGAATGGTGCTGCAGACTGACCCAGCCCAATCTGATCATGCACAATTCTTGGGTTTTTTTGGTTTCTTAATTTTTCTTTTTCTTTTTTTAATGTACAGCAGTAGCCACCAGTGACCGACGGTTAGGGGTTGGTGAGATTTGCCTACCTCCCCACAACTTCAGTACCAGCAAGGCTCAGACAAATGTTACTACATAAATTTTTTTTTAATTGTACTTTAGATGAAGATTTACAGAGCAAACTAGTTTCTGATTAAATAATACACATATTGTTTTGTGACATTGGTACCCAATCCCATGGAATGTCAACACTCTCCCCTTCTTGACCTTGGGTTCCCCATTACCAGCTTTCCTGTCCCCTCCTGCCTTCTCATCCTTGTCCCTGGGCTGATATACCCATTTAGTCTCATTTTGTTTTATGGGCCCACCACACAAATATTTGTAACCATGCAGGCATCTAACAGCTCATACAATCTGTTTAAACTTGATGAAAGCTCAGCTTTATGTTCTTTAAGGTTATCCTAACACATCTAGCATGAAAGGTTCATTCAAGGAAAAGCCAACAATATTGTAAAGGCAGAACTCTGTAGCCTCAGAGCCACACATCAAACAACCAGAATCCTCCAACCCAATGACTGGGCCCAAGGACTGTTTAGGGATCAAACCTTGGACACCATCTCTAAGTGCACAGACTACTGGGTTTGCTAGATTCTTATACCTTGTTCATGCAAAGATCTTTTGTAGCAGATTTGCCTGATGCAATAGGTCATTTGATTTATTGACTGCTGCTTCCATGGGCGTTGGTTGTGGATCCAAGTGAAATGAAATCCTCGACAACTTCAATATTTTCTGTTTCTCATGATGTTGCTTATTGGTCTAGTTGTGAGGATTTTGTTTTCTTTATGTTGTTCTTCATGTTTTGTTACGTTATTCATAGGGCCGCTATGAGTCGGAATCAACTTGATAGCACCTAAGAACAACAACAACATTCACGCAAGGTTGGGAAATATCTCTGAAACACTCGAGCCAATCAACATGTATTGAATACCACTAATTTCACCAACAAGAGCCCACGTCCAACACACATTATGCTAAATTAACAAACCACTAATTCCACCAGTGAAAACCCATTGCTAACATTCATTATGCTACTTAGCAAAGCATCTAGTGTTATTAGTAATAAAGATAACTGAAGCCCTTGGAGTAGGGCCTTTCTGACACACCATTCAGCTAATCATTCCTGGGTGTGAACCCCCAATTAAGAAAATGACAACCCCTGGGGTGTAACTTAAACTATCCAACATATGCGTAATAACACACTGCCTTTGCTTAAGTATTTGAAGTAAATTATAGACATTCAATAAAGGGCAGAAAGGAGACTTCCTCATTATTGTCTCTCATTCTTTATTGCATTTATTTCAATTATTCATTGCTATTTGCTTAAAAGAAAATTTAAAGGCAACATCACAATTGATTCTAAAGGGCTAGAAAGTCATTATCCAAAATGCTACATCTCTGCCATGAACAGAACCATGGAGAAAACACATAGTGTTTCCTTTGAACTTTATTCTCCCTTTGACACAGTTTTGAAGATGATGGAAGGAATATTAAAAATACAATTCTCAAAATCAGATCCTTAGTCCACTCCTCCCACTGAATATGAAATTACCCACATACAATGCACTGGACAGCAGGTGGTCCAACCCAGGGCTGCCACATCCATGAATACAGGTTAAGTACAATATAACTGTGGCTTCACAGGGGGCCCCGATTCCGTCTCTGCTGTGTGCTCACCATTTCATAAGGCAGTCCATTTCTTTTTTGGTAGCTCTATTTGCCACCATATTTTTGCTTCTGTTAAGCAAAATCTGCCTCCCTGCAATTTTCACTCTTAGTTCTCATTCTTATTTCTTTAGGTAGACATCATTTCTTCACAGTATCTTTTCAAACATTGAAACAGAGGCCCATACTCCTATGAACAGAGCCTACAACTGTTTTTGATCTTAACCAGTTTTATCATGCTATTCAGTAAAACCAGGCTTGTGGTCAGCTGAAACCCCTAGATCCTTTTTCATATCAAGGTCCATTTGGGGCAGCTTTCTAATTAACAGACTAAGTTGTATCCTTGTAACTTTCAGGTGATCATGGTGATTACTTTCGGCTGCTGCTTCCGGGTACCTACACCGTCACTGCCTCAGCACCCGGGTTTGACCCAGAGACAGTGAGTGTGACCGTGGGTCCTGCAGAACCAAAACTGGTGAGTTAGGCTGTTTCAGAACGCCATAAAGGTCACTTATACAAAAGTCTTAAACAACTGATTGCATAATTCTAATCTTTGCCAAGCTTTCTTCTTTGACTTTTTTTAAAATTAATTGCTCTCATATCCTAATTTGTCTTCTGTCCTCTCCTATTATGTCCTTCCCCACTTCCTCTTGGCTTTTCTTCTTTCTTCTGTTTAACATAGCATAGTGATAGAAAGCACAATCTCTGGTTCAAAATCCAACTAATTTGTCTACGGATCTTGGATAAATTACCTAATCTCTCTCATCCGTAGTTTCTTCCTCTGTAAATTGGTGATAATAATATCTTCTTCATAGGAGGTTTAAGAGAGTGTATACAAAGCAGTGACTGACCATAGAAAGTGCTCAACAAATGTTATTTTGTAAATCCCAGAGACCCTGCCCAGGTACACGGGCTCCCATAGCTTGCACTCTTCTGTGCCATCAGCAAGTACTATCACCAGAGGGCGCTCTCCTACCCCTTCTGCTGCCCATTGTGCCCAGACAGCCTTGCCTTCTACTCACACTGCAGCAAAGAGCCACGTTCTCTCCAATATCCAGCTCTCCACGGCTATCTTTTATGGATAAAATGAGAAGCAAAAAGTTTCTTTGATATACAACCTGGGCCTTTTGAGTTTTGGCTGTATTAGATTAGGATCTTAGAGCTAAGAGTCTCAGAGATCACGGACACTCATGCTCATCTTTCTCAAACGAGGAAAGAGTAACGAGGCAGTCCTCTTTAATGAGCATCTACATACCTGATTTCCCAAAGTCACTCTCCTAGAGCCTCCTTACTCTGTCCTTTCCTTCTCTGTACAGCCCTAGAGCTTAGCTGACCCTCCTCCTTTCCCTCTTAACTCAATGCAATCAGGTCAAAAATCAAAGCAGCTTGTCTTTTTAAATATACTATTTATTGAATAGTTACTATGCGTCAGATACTATATGAGACCTTTACAGAATTATCTCATTTAACCTTCACAACAAGCTGTAAGGTAGATGTAAGTTCCCCATTTGTGGTAGAGGAAACTGAAACTGGAAGGATGAAAGTTTTCCAACGCCACCCAGTGAGTAAGTAGGGGGAGGCACGATGTAAACCTACGTCCCCTACATATTATGAATTACTTCTAGTTGCAGATTCAAGAAGAAAAGAGTCACTTCCATTCCAGCCTGTTGCCTAATTCCAGTTTCCCAACCAATTCATCCCCTATCTCTCTTTTCAAATCATTATCCTTCTGCTCCTCATCTACCCTAAAATCAAGTGACTGGTAGACAACTTCATGTGTAAGTCTTACATTACAAGTAAGTCTATTCTGTGCCAAATTCAAACAACTGCAAATCCTCTTGAGCAACACAGTTATTCTATTTGGAAAGATTTCACCTCCCTTGTCACATTTCTTGTAAGTAAATTAACATAACCCTTCATTACAACAAACGTTACTCTGAGGGGAAAATCTATCATTTGGATGCAATTTCCAGACACAGTAACAACTAGGAATCTGTTTATTGATCTCCCTTTGCATTCTAAAGCACATACCCATCTGGCTGGGGAAAGAAAAAGAAAAGCATTGTTGAACCAGAGTTTTTTGTGTTATAATTTAGACTCTATCTCTCAGTGTCCAATGTTCTCTTTGCTTTTCCCCACAGCTTTCCAGATGCCACGGTTATTTTCATTTTCCTCTGTTCTTTTCTCATTTTGTTGTCTCTCTTCTTTTTTCTTTCCTGTTGTTGTTAGGTGCCGTCAAGTCGATTTTGCCTCATAGCAACCCCATGCAACAGAGTGGAACTGCCCCATAGGGTTTTCTAGGCTGTAATATTTATGAGAGCAGATTGCCATGTCTTTCTCTCGAACAGCTGCCGGGTGGGTCCGAATGGTCGACCTTTCAATTCGCAGCCAGAGTGCTTAACTGTTGCACCACCAAAAAAAAAAACTCAAACCCACTGCCATGGAGTCGATTCCAACTCACAGCAACCCTATAGGACAAGGTAGGACTGCCCCCTAGGATTTCCAAGGCTATAAATCTTTACGGAAGCAGATTGCCACATCTTTCTCCCATAGGGTGACTGGTGGGTTCAAACCAGCAACCCTTTAGTAAGCAGCCAAGTACTTTAATCATTGCGCCACCAGGGCTCCTATTGTTTCACCAGGGCTCCTTTTTCTTTTCAAGATCTCTTTATTCTAAGGAAACAGTGCAATCGGTTCTGATTCTTTCCCCCTTTGGGAAACTAGCAGGAAAACTGATTATGGATTTTTGTGGAAGGGGCAGGAAATCACCTCCACGCAGAGGCCTCACTGTCACATGTTTTTCTGCTCTCAGCTGGCTTCAGCAGCTCAAGCTGTTCCAAGTGCCTGAAAGCCAGGGGTGCCCCAGGGGAATGTGGTCACTGTGCCACTCCCTCTCCATTCACTCATGGGGTGGTTATGCAGCTTCCCCATGCCCAGAATATGCCCCACTTCAACCAGCTAAAAGCATCTGCACATCTCCGGGCCACTGCGCCAAGTGAAGGCCCTGCTGTGATGCCCCAGGCCAGTGGCAGACAGCACTGAGCAGGGACTCCAGGCCACAGGCCAGCAAGCTGAATCTGTATGCTATCACCGAAGGGAAGTTTTAATGTATCACTCAGAAGGATGCATGGACATCGAGAGTTTAAGAATCCGTCCTAGTAATCTATATCATCTCCACTATCTATATCCCCAAACAATTAAGGATTCATTCTGAAGGTGTGAGACATTCACTGGCTTGCCCGAGCACGAACCTAGGATTCACACAGTCAGCATAAAGCAGGTTATTATGGCACAATCAATCATAGCTCTGGCCTAAGCAATAATATTGGGGAAATCATGATTTGATGTGCTAGATATAATTGTTTTATAACAACTGAAGAAGAATTGATGCCTTCGAATTGTGGTGTTGGCAAAGAATACTGAATACACCATGAACTGCGAAAAGAACAAACAGCTCTGTCTTGGAAGAAGTACAACCAGAACGCTCCTTAGAAGGAAGGATTGTGAAACTACATCTTAACATACTTTGTACATGTTGTCAGGAGAGATCAGTCCCAGGAGAAGGACATCATGCTTGGTAAGGTACAGGGTCAGCGTAAAAGAGGAAAACCTTCAACGAGATGGGCTGACACAGTGGCTGCAACAATGGGCTGAAGCATAACAACGATTGTGAGGATGGCACAGTACTGGGCAGTGTTTCATTCTGCTGTACGTAGGGTCGCTGTGAGTCGGAACCAACTCGACGGCACCTAACAACAAAGTAACACATATAAAATAAATGTATATTCAGTTCATCTCGTAGACCTCATGTAGCACCAGTGATTGTATACCATATTTGGGGGAATATTAGCCAAGTTTATCTGACAGTAGGGTCACTATGAGTCGGAATTAACTTGACAGTAATGGGTTTGGTTTGTTTTTTTTTATATGACAACACCACTGCTACCTGGATTGTTGCTATAATAATTCTCCCTAGTCCTTTGCCCTCAGAACCTGGAACTATGGCAAAAGAAGGTCCAAACTGGCTCCCCCCAATTTCAGCTCCAGGAAGCAGAAAAATGACTCTGCTCTCCTAACTTCTCTTTCCCTTCCAGGTGGACTTTCATCTCAAGAGAAGTGTTCCTCAAGCAACCCCTACGAGAAGAGTTCCCAACAAGGGGCACGGAGGCAGAGTCTTCCCAAAGAAAGTGCAGCCCCCGGCCACAAGAAAAACAAAAGTGGAGAAGAAGCAGCCCCAGTGAATCCCTGCCTGAAACCCACAGTGCCTGGAGCATCACTTCAGAAAGGCTTTGCCCCTGCTTTCAAATCAGCTGGAGCATTCCTCCTATTTTATTATCTGGGACATATTTAACTGTAAACATATTCAGAACAATTCAGTTTGGTCCCTGTCTGTTCCAGGGGTAAGCCCTCCACCAGTTGCCATTGAGTCAATTCCAACTGATGGCAATCCCACGTGTTTCAGATTAGAACTGTGCTCCATAGGATTTTCATGTCTGTGACTTTTCAGAAGCAGATTGCCAGGGCTGTCTTCCAAGGTACCTCTGGGTGGGTATGCACTGCCAACTTCTGGGCTAGTAGCCCAGTGCTCAATCGCTTGTGCCACCCAGGGACTTCAAAGCCCTCTCTAGGCCATCGTTAAAGAATCAGAACTTACTGAAAATGGATGCGGTTGCACATATATCCAGTGGTGGTCAGTGAGGTTTTCAGATTCTGGACTCTGATCTAGGTCCAGAGGCTCCATGCCAGGCCACACTGCACCCAGAGGCTGGTTCTGCTGGTTGGCCACTCTGTCTCCAGAGTCTAGCACAGAGCCTGCAGTACAGTCAGTGCTCAGTGAAGATTTCTGAATGAATGATGGAAACGCTGAAACGTCCCACCATTGATGTTGTCCCATAGCAAGACCAGGTGACCAATTCTTCTGAAATCCCAGAGGACCATTTCAACAATAGCAAATAGTTTCTTAATAAGAAAAGGATTTTACAAATGCAAATATCTTGTCCCACTGCTACCCATCTTGTACATGGGCATTTTAAACAATGTGCATCTTTGAAAATATTTTCTAGATATGTGTATTTGCTTCCTAGGACTGCTGTAACTAAGTACCACAAACTGGGTGGCTTATCAGAGCAGAAATTCTTTGTCTCACAGTTCTGGAGGCTGTAAGTCCAAATTTAGCGCGTCAGCAGGACCATGCTCTCTCCTAAGGCTCTAGGGAAAGATCTTCTCTTGTCTCTGCCGGCTTCTGGTGGCTCCCGGCAATCCTTAATGTTTCTTTGCTTGCAGCTGTATCTGCTTCCTTTGACACATGATGTTCTTCCCTCTGTGTTTCTGATCTATGTCTCTTCTCCCCTTTTATAAGGACATCACTCAGATTAGATTAGGGTGCACCCTACCCCGGTATGACCTCATGTTAACGGATAACATCATCAAAGAGTAAAGACCTTGTTTCCAAACAAGGCCACATTCACAGGTACTCTTACTCATTGCAGTCGAGGCGATTCCAACTCATAGTGACCCTACAGGACAGAGGAGAACTGCCCCATAGAGTTTCCAAGGCTGCAATCTTTAAGGAAGCAGACTGCCACATCTTTCTCCCTCAGAGCAGCTGGTGGTTTTGAACCACTGACCTTTCAGTTAGCCGCCGAGCACTTAACCACTGCACCACCAGGACTCCTCATTCACAGGTACCAGGGGTTAAAACTTCAACATAATTCAATCCATAACCATATGTGAGTGTAATCCAGATGTTCTGTAGAATGGCTCTGACCTGGCCCTGTGCCTGGCAGTACACACACTCTCCACCTCACTGAGCTCCCCAGAATGAACCCATTTGTACTAGAAACATTATTGATCAAAGGAGATGTTACTAAGGATTCAGTGTTGCTATGAGTCAGAATCCACTCCACAGCAATGGTTTGGTTTAGTTTTGTAGTTCTTCATCACACACCTGACAACCCACAAATTCATAAACCCCCACGGGGCAAGTTGGGGTTCCCCAGTCCTCCATTCTCAGGGCTTAGTGGGGCTTCTTTCCTGTGTGCCCCCTTTCAGGGCTCAGCCTCAGTTAAGCAAGGTACGCTCTAGTTTCCCCACCTGCCTCCCCCTGGGCCTCTAATTAGCCCAGCCCTTCCTTACCACAGAGCAATTTAGCTCCTTAACAAGTATTCCCACACCCATCAGAAAACACTAGCTGCTCTAGCTGTGACAACCTGCCCTCCTCAGCAGACCTTCAGGATTAGGATTGATACACACATTTATTTTTCTGTTACTTGAGCAATCTCTCAGCCTGTGGTTAAAAGAGTAAGAGGGTAAAAAAGTAGTTTTCCATTTAAAAAGGGAGCATGTCTCAAGTGATTAATCCTTTCTTTACATTTCTTTTTCTTTCTTCCCAATTTTAACCTGATATTCCTTTGTTCTTTTCTTATTGTAAAGAAGCAGCTGCCTGAGGGGGCTCTTCAATTCAGTGAAACTTTATGTGTGAGGTTTCCATATGCACTAGATTTTTTCTAGATTGCCTGGATATCGTTTATTTTGTGTTCGGGTTCTCTGGTACATAGTCACTTAACAGAGTTGTTATTTGCAAAATATGGTCCCAGTTCTTTCCCTGGCACAGCCGCAGACTTTCATCCATCCACCCATTCATTTACTCGGGACATTTATTGAGTCCTTCCTCTCAATAAATGCAGAGAGTACAAAGAAGAATAAGATACAGCCCATGACTCAGGAACCACAGTGAGTTGGGAAGACAAACAAGTCGTTACAATGCATTGTGATAGTTGCTGTGATTCAGTGCATACTTGGTGGCGAGGGGGAGGAGTGCCAGTGGGAAGGGCTCTGATAGAGTCTTGGGAAGCTCAGGAAAGGCATCCCAGAGCTGGCAAAGTCTAAGGTGAGGTGCAATGAGGGAGAATAAAGAAGCATTAGCCAGGTAAAAAGAAACGAGGCGGGGGTGGTGGTGGCATGGACAAATAATTAGGCTGCAAGTGCAAAGTTCTGGAGGCTCGAAAGAGCATGGTTTGTTCAGGACAATGGCAGGAAATCCAGTATGGCTGGAGGTGAGTGAGATGTCGAAAGATGAGGCCAGAGGGACCAGATCATGAAGGACTTTTGGACCATATTCAAGAGTCTGGACTTTATCCTGAGAAAAACAAAGAGCCATTGAAGGATTTTACTGAGTGGAGTGGCGGGATCGGATTGAGAATGATCACCCGGGCTGCAGACTGAAGAGCTGGGTGAAGCAGGGGCGAGACGGTGCAGGGAAGTCAGTCTATCGGCCTGAGCCCAGGCAGGGTGACAGGGACGCCAAACCACGTGGCAACCCACAAGCTATTAAGTCCTCCACTGGCTATCCAGAGTGCTTCCTGCCTTCTCCCTGTGTCGTCACTGCCCTCTTCCAATAGCCTTTCTTCAGACCCCTCCTTCCTGCCACCCTGAGGATGTTAAGCACTCAAGGAGATGAAGGTTTTCAACTAAACCCTAACTGAGTAAAACTCACCCAAGCGGCGGGTGATTACACAGATAGAATGTTATCTGGGAAATACTGGGTGTGGCAATGACGGTATGCAAATTTCTCACTGCACACAAGGGAATCAGAACTAACAGGAGAAGCGATGGGCAGGGTTGACAGGGCGCGAAGTAGAGCACTTGACTTTGAGCCTAGCATTTTCCTGGCTGGTACCCTTTCTATCCTGAGTAGATCCAGGATTTTTTTTAAAAGAAACTCTTCCGCACAGAATGCCAGCTTGGATAGGCAGTACTTCTTAAGGGAGTAGAACCTTGCAGTGAAGGGCACAGGTTTTGGGCTCTGACAGATCTGGGTTTTAATCCTAGCTCTGCTCCTTATTTGCTACATGACTTTGAGCAAGTAACTTGCCTTCTCTGAGTCATAGTTACTCATCCGGGAAAAATGAAGATCATAGCTACCTGATTTGGAGTTTATGGGGGTTAAGTCAGTAAATCACAGTCAGTAAGGAGGGGAAGGCAGCTCCTGCCCCAAACCCTCCTCAGAGGATTGTCAGGCTGGGTGACTGTCAGCCAATGAGTCTGACAGGAACATGGAGGACTTACAGGCACAGGCGAGTTTGAAAGTGAGGCACAATTTCCTGAGGAGCTGAATCAAGCCACTCTGTCTTTATGGCTTTGAATGCCCAGCAATCAGAACAGTGCCTGGCACATCAGACACGTTTGCTGAATGAATGACCTCCAGGGTTATTTTCACTTTTTTTTCTTCTCTCCTCTGTTGCTATTTTTTTCTTCTTTTATCTATTATTAACACTTGGAGCATCTTTTTTTTTTTTTCATCATAAACCATGGTAGGCAGAATTCTAAGGTGACTCCCAATGACCCTTGTATAATCCCCTCCCCTTGCATGTGGGCAGAACCTGTGAATATGATCAGCAGGGCCGGATTAAGGCACGTGAGGGCCCTAAACACTGATAATCTGTGGTGCTCCCTCCTATACTTACTCACAAATTCAAACGGGACATGTAAGTTATATATACACAGGTATATATATATATATGTGTGTGTGTGTATGTCTTAGCTATCCATAATGTAACTTCTTTTTAAATGTGACTATAATATTAGCAGTTGAACCCAAAAGTGGCGTATGCCATTTTAGTGGAATGAGATGAACTGGATTATGAAATGTTTAGTGGAAGCAGGGTACTAAGATTTTTACTATATACCACATTTTCTACAAAAAGAATATTTCACATATTTTACAAAAAAGAAAATGGATCAGTGAACTTAGTTGTTTTAACGATCGATGTAAAATTCTATTGATCTCCCACAACGAAAAATTGACTTTCGCCGATTTTGCTTTAAACGGCTCGTACTTCAGTTTTAATGCTTGTTTCATAATAAATGCTATAATTATAATTGAACAAGTAAAAAGATGTCATAAAAGAAAATTTAATGATCAGAAAACAAATATTACAACAAATTACTATATTTTATTTTTGGATAGATCCTTCATCTCTAACACGTTATAATTAAAAACATTTCTATTCTTTGCTCTTACAAATTTGTCAAGGATTTCACCACAACTAAGCTGCAGAACAATATCTACTTACATACATAATAAGGATAGTGAATCAAGTCTTTCTTGAATCATTGTTGTACGTTGAGGGTTTTTGAGTTTCTTTAGGGATGAAAATGAGTGTTCTGTTGTGCAGTTCGTGGTCATTAAAGTTAGGAATACACATAAAGTGACTTCAACATTGGAAATATGCATTGCATT